ACAGTTATAAATACAATTTCTTTAGAGTCTAGATTTCATTCCAAATAATCAGGTCAAACACTTGAGCTGCTCTGGAGAAGAGGTGTGGGTTTGGGGTTTTTTTTATGCACTAGATAAAAGCTTCTAAGAAAATATTTTTAAATTGTTTAATTCTGTAATGTTGCTATTTTTAGTAGCATTAGGAGACAGCTGTGGACACAGAGAGGCAGCAGTCTGGGATGGTTCACAGGCACTAAGAGACACACACTGTGTTTAAACAGTTTAAAACCTCTTTTCCCTCCCCAACCCAAGGGTGTAAATGACCCTGCACCCCCCACAATCCACACAGCTCCCCAGACTGTCCTGACATCCTGGCAACAGCACATCAGCAACCACCAGATCTGCTTCTGGGGTGCCACTTCTGCCTGTGAGGACAGCGTGTCACCAGCTGGGTTACAGTAAGATGGACATCAAGTCCAAAGCCTCAGCTTCCTTCTTCCCTGCTAAAGCTTATCAACACCCCATCAGTGTTTTGAGGCCACCCTTCTCACCAGATTTGGCCCAGCTGGTCACCATAAACAAATATTAACCCAACCAGAGTCACACCAAGACACAGATTGCCTGACAAACGTGTACTGAGGCACAGAAAGAGCACGGGACTCTGGTCTCTGTCACCTGATAAGGATGACGGGAACTGCCACCCACTGCTGCCACTGCCCCATGGATGCTGGGAGGAACAAAACCCCACAGGCATGCCCAGGGAAGGATGATTTCTTTGCAGAATCAGGTCTCAGGCTCCTGCCTCCTCCCTGACATTTAGAGGATTCCCCACTAAAGGGAAGGGGTGTCAAAACCAAGCTCGAGGTCTATACAGAGCAGTGGGGAAGTTTTCCTCACATTTGTGAGAACATGGATTCAATTTGAAGAGCAGACCTGTTCTCAGAGGACACCTGGGGTTAAAAATCAGGAGCAATGCTGGTGTGAGCCACTGTGGGAAACACATCCTGTGTGAGTGAATCCCCCTGACCCAGTCTGTTCTGTGAGATTCTGAGTGTCCTGACTTCTCACACAAATATACCTCAAGTATTTCTCTGAGTAGCACCTACATCTCATGTAAGTCATGGGAAAAGCAATTAGTTAAACCATGTTTAAACTCCCAATTAAGTTCATCCACTTCTGGGCAATCCAGGTGTTTCACTGGATAGAAAGGATTTGAACAGCCCACCCACAGGGATGGAAATGTGAATCTGTAAGAGAACTGTAACACAGAACTGTCCCACACCTGACATGAAAGAGAACAAGGTTTTACTGCAGATTTCTGCAGTATTTTTAGAGATAAGTTTATCTTCATGCAAAACATCACCTAGGGAGTACTAGTTAAACCATGACACAGCTACAAATTCTCCTAAATAGATGAAAAACACGAGGATCTCTGGAAGAGATCTGACAACCTTACAAATAATAACCTTTTCACCTAAAGCTGGATCCAAAAAGCTTTGTTACAATAATGCTTTTTTTTTCCCCCTACACACAATGGAAACCATCATTACCTGACACACTTCAATTAAATATCACACCTACTAATCTGATAAAAATTCAGCTTTCTAAACAAGAGCTAAAAAGAGAATATAAAGAAATATTACATGTAGATTATTGAAATATACATTAGTTCTTCCAAACTGGGAATCTCCAAGCCAGCTACACTAAAATATGGATTTTAAATCCACCACCATCAGCTACTTCAGACTAATTCACTTTCTCATGGAATTAAAGCAGCTCCAAGCCTCTCACCCACAAAGCTGGCACACACTCCAATTCAGAGAAAATCATTCCTTTTTCTTGTCCCAATACAATTTCCACACCAGCTTTAGAGGAATCCAGTGACTTCTATGGAATTCCAGGAGCATCCTGTGAAGGCAAAGGGGTTCAGAGCCACTCCTGCCCATCTCAGATCACTGTGGAGCTGCAGGTAACACGTGGGACTTCACTGCACCCCAAAAACCCCCTGTGAGCCCCCTCCCTCCCACCTGTGGTGGGGCCCAGCATCTGGAGGGGAGGGAGCAGAGCCAAGGGAACCGAGGGGATTTGATCCTGGATGCAACAGTAGCAAAATGCCCTCCTCACTCCACTGCCCAGGGTTTCCTCCCAAGGAAGAAACGTTTTCAGCATCAAACAGCTCATTTTTGGTTCTGCTTTTTGAACAAAGACGTTCACTTTTGGTTTTAGGCCGAAAGTGAAAGCTCAGCCTCTCCCTCTGCAGCCACTCCGAATGGAAAATAAATAACTAAATGGTAGAGCAGGATGGTGTGTGCTGCTGCTGCTGGGGAATGGACAGCCAGGACCTCAGGAATCAGATTTTTGCAGCAAGAAGGCAAGAAGTCAGCACAGAAAACAGACATAACTCTAGGAAAGTGTTTAATAAATACCAGGGAAAGACAAAGGGTTTAACCTGTATTTCCTGCAGATCAAGGAACAGCCTCCGAAACTCTGGATGCATATGTTCAACCCAAAGCATTTTTGGAGCAGTTAATAAAGCCAGCTGGCAGTTCCTCAGCACTGCCCAAGCCTGACAGAGGTCTGAAGGGGCACTGAGCATTCCTGGGAACTGGAGAAGTGGACACAGACTTTTAGAGGCTACTTACAGGTATTCCTCCCCAGTCAGCCACTAATTTTTCCCCCTAGATTGGCCAAACAAGCTATTTAAAAATAATTCCTTTATTCCAGCAGTACTGCTAATTCACTGCAAGTCCTCTGACCACAATTACTAATGATGCTGCTGGAAATGGTCTTTCAAAGCACATTAAGCTCTGAGTGCTCCCTACAGTACATGAAAGACACAAAGTGGGGAAGGAACTGTGGGTCTGGAGATGACAGTTCTGCCAAAGAGCAGCTTCCACACCTGGGAACAAGTTCTAGTGGAACTATTTATGCCTTTGTTAATTAACTCACACATGGGACATTGCTACAGAGAACCTGGAATACCCAACACGTGCATTTCTGTCACCATTTCCTGCAGGTGAGCACCAATCCTGGTGCAGAAGGAAGGGATGATCCCTGAAAGAACGTGCCATGCCTTTAACACTTGTTAAAGTGATCTGATAGTCTCATCAAGACAAATTATTTGCAGGATGTGCTGGTGCCAGCAGGTTCTGACCCTAATCCCAGGCCACACGAGGCAATCCTGGTAGGGCACCTGAATCACCTGGGCAGTGTGGGCTGCACAGGGCCCCTCACTGACACGGGAAAGGCGCTTCCAGAACAGCAGCACGTGTCCTGATTGTCCCTGGGTCAGTGCAGGGCCAGCCCAGCAGGGCCAACGACCCCAGGGCCACCCAGGAAGGGGTGGGAGCTGGGCAGGGGCACAGGGCACAGCTGGCAGCAGGACACACCTGCACGAGGGACAGCACCAAGCTGGGGCAGAAGGAGCAGCCCCTGCCAGGCACTCACTCTGGCCCTGAGCCCTCAGAGCAGCCCCAGCCCGTGTTTGTTTGCACACACATCTCTCCACCCCAACAGGCACGTGCCCATCCAGCCACGAGGCTTAACAAACTTCACAAAAAAATGTGAAAACCGATGTTTTCAGAACCAAACTACCCAAGTTGGGAAATCAAGGCTATTTCAACCACTTCAGTCACTCTGAGGCTAGATTTGAAATGCTGTTATTTCAAACAAGAATTCAATACTCCTGAATGAAAAAGAGCTGCTCCAGCACAAACCAGGACCACTCTGGCTACACAGAGCATCTTCAGGAGTAACTTTCAGGGAACTCTGTTCCCTGCTCTCCCCAGGAACCTCCCAGAACCCCCAGGATTACAGAGCAGTGTCATTTTTAGTCATATCACCAACACATGAATGAGGTGGAAAGCATCTTCTGCTGGGAGCCAACTGTTTCTTCAGAGCAAACTCCTGAACTCCTCGAGACCTTCTTTCACACTGTGCCAGCTTACAAAACACAAGGAATTACTTGCTATTCCCCTACTCCTTCTGCAGATGCTTATTTGCCACTAAAATTCGATACAGAGCTGTAGGAGGAAGGAAAACCAACCAACACAATTACTTGCTATTCCCCTACTACTTTTCTGCAGATGCTTATTTGCCACCAAAATTCGATACAGAGCTGTAGGAGGAAGGAAAACCAACCAACACAGTTGTCTCCCCACTGTTTATAAACTCAACGATTCCACACGAGTTTTCTCCCAACTGTTGATAGCCTGACCTCCCCCTGTATTTCAGCTTTCAAAGCTGAGGTCTCTGGGTTTGATGTTCCACCTCTAAGCAGAGCTTAGCTAAGTGATCTCTCTGTGTCTGAAATACACAGCACTCGTTTGCTGTCCTGCAGCCCCCACCCTGCAGAGTTTTTAGGTCAACACACTTTGGAGAGGTGCAAGGGCTCAAAACGAGCCAAACCCCGCGACTCACAGAGCAGCTGCTCCACAACATCCTTTTCACAGTTCCTGGGCTCACTGCACCAGAACACTCCTAGCCGCTGTTTTTCACCCTTGTACTGAGTATCTCCCCTGTTTTTCTCGAGCTACAGCGTCGCTGATAACCCGTGCCTGCTTCTTCCTTGGGCAGTGCCACACAGCCTTTATCAAGACAAACACACACCCGAGAGCCAGAAGATTCAGAGAGACCCTCGGCCCGCAGGCAGACGCTGTTTTCCCCAAACACCCCGGGAACTCTCCCACGTGCACCGCGGCCGCTTCCAGGCTCCTCCAGCGCCTTTCTGCCACAATTCCCCTCCCTCCGAGGCCCCGAACGCAGCCTCACACCAACAGCTCCGCGGGCCTGGGAGCGGCAAACCCGCACCGGGGGCTGGGCCGAGACGCGGGCCCGTCCCGCTGCCCCAGCGCCATGGCAGCCGCGGGCCCCGCCAGGGCACGGAGGGCCCGGCACAAACACCGCCCGTTCCCCGCCGCGGCCCTGAGGCGACCGGCCCGGCGGTGTTTTGTGGGGGGGCCGCGGCCCCTCGGCCCCGCGAGCCCCCTCAGGCCGCCCCCCCCGCGGCCCCGGGCCCGCACCAGTTGGTCATGTCGAGGAAGAAGGCGCAGCCGGCGGGGCTGAGCTGGAAGCCGAGCAGGCGCTGGAACTCGCCGATCAGCACGTCCTTGTCGGTGGTGCCGAGGCAGCTGAACTTCTGCATGAGCTCCGCGTCCAGGTCCACGTCCATGCCCTCCATGGCCGGGGGGGCTCCGCGGCCGGGCCGGGGCCGCCTCAGCGCCGCCCACCCCGCGGCCGGCGTCACCCCCCCAGCGGCCGGGAAGGGAGGGAGCGCGGCAAGGGCGAGGGGGCGGGGCCTCGCATGCAAATGACCTCCGCGCATGCAAATGACTCCGCGCGTGCAAATGAGCTCCGCGCGTGACCCGTGGGGGCTCCGCCGCGTCACCGGCGGGGGGGCGGGGCGATGGTTCGTCTCCGCCCACGCGCGCGCGCTGCCGTCCATATATGGGCGGGCGGCGAGCGCGCGTGTTTGTGTATGCAAATGAGCCCCCGTGACGTCACGCGGCGCCATGCAAATGAGAGGCGCAAGGCGCGACGGGAGCACCCCCGGTGGTTTTTTTTCCGCCTAAAAATGGTGTTTTTCCTGCAGTTTTCGGCCGCGCCAGGCTGCTCGGTGCGCGGCTGGCGAGCGGAACGGCGGGGCGCGTTCCGCCAGGGGAGCACAGAGAACGAGGCGCACACGCTTGGGCAGCGCCGGGGGGCGCTGCCGGGTGACGGTGGTGTGAGCAGCCAGGGCCGGGCGGGCGCGGCGTGGCTCCACCTGCAGGCCGAGGGGAGCCACACCGCGGAGCGCGTCCGCTGTCACTCCCCGGCAGGGCCGCCCGCCGTCACTTCCGGGCCCTACGGCAGCCGGCGCGGGTCAAGCGGCGCGCGGCGGCGCTGCGTGTGCGCCATTTCCGGCTGGCGGCGGCGGGAGCACCATGCCCAAGTGAGGCCGGGCCGGGGTCCCGGGCGGGGGTCCCGGGGGGGGATCGCTGCTTGCCGAGGCTCCTGGTGCTCCCCGCGAGCCCAGGGCCGGGAGGGGCGCGGATGGCGGGCGGGCCGAGCGCTGGCGCCCTGCGGGGTCGTTCCCGGGCTCCCTTAACGCTGGCAGCGGGCCCTCATTAACCAGGGCCCTCATTAACCAGGACTCTCATTAACCAGGGCTCTCGGTAACCAAGGGCTCTCAGTAACCAGGCTTCTCCCGGCAGGTTTTACTGTGATTACTGCGACACGTACCTCACGCACGACTCGGTGAGTACCAAAGCCTCCGTTTCAGTCCTTTCGTACGTGAAGAGCATTAAAATACAATTTAGCTCGGCTAAAAGCAGGCCTGTGGGGTGCAGCGGTGTTCCTGAGTGTTTTCCCTTTCTATGCAAAAAAAGAAGAAGAATGTGCCATGCCACTGGTGTTGGGCAGTGGCAGGGTCAGAGGTGGCAGCTGGGGGACTTCAGGGCAGACTGGAGAGTCAATATTTAATGTGCTGATAACAGTTTATATAAAAGTTTTGTACATCACCCCTCCTCTGCCGGGGCACAGAAGCAAACCTGCTTTATGCTGCTAAATTACACGTGTTTCAAATCATAACAAACACCAGTAACCTTAGGGTTTTTGTGGCCTCTCCCAGCCCTCCGTGAGAAAAACCCACTGCAGTGGCCGCAAGCACAAGGAGAACGTGAAGGATTATTACCAGAAATGGATGGAGGAGCAAGCCCAGAGCCTGATTGACAAAACAAGTAAGGCCAATCTTTCTGTGACCCCGGCTGCCTCCCCTTTCCTTCCCCTGCCTTTCCTCCAGCTGCTGTTCCCTGCTTCCACCTCGACTTCTCCTCACTTCCCTGGGGACTCTTTGCTCAGTGAGTCGTGAGTGAAATCCTGGAGTGTGGATCTTGAGTTCCTCAGGTTTTGGGCTGTCCTGGGGGAGCCTGAGAGCTCTGCGTGCCACACAAGAGCTGAGGTTCCCTCCCAGGGCTGGTGGCAGTGGCTCCATGTCACTGTTCATGAGGGCTCTCAGTGATACCCTGCAGGGCCACGTAACAAACTTGTGCTGCTTGGCAGTGGCACATTTTTGTACCACGGATAAGAATTCCAAAAGATAGGAAAACAGACATAAAAATGTGTGGATTGTTGCATTTTTCACGTGCTGGGGTTGCCTGCCCTCAGTTCCCAGGTGATGTTTTTTTCCCTAAAGGCTTAACTGAAGTGTGGCATTGATTCCTCTGTCCCTTCAAGAGGTCCTTTGTGCCTTTCCTCTGTGAAAGAAGCACAAACACCAGGTTAGCTGTGTGGAGCACTCCGTGGCTCGTGGGGGATCTCAGGTTGGACAGGACCCCTCAGGATCACTGCTCCCACCCCCAGCTCCATGCAGGACTGCCTGAGGCCAAGCCCTGTGACCAGCAGCATCACCCAGCTGCTCCCTGAGCTCTGACACACTCGGAGCCGTGCTCACTCCCCCGGGGAGTGTCCAGTGCCCAAACACCTCTGGCTGAAGAATTTTCCTAAAACACCCAATCCGAATTTCCCCTAACTCATCCTCACTCTATCTCCCTTTGTCTGTTCTCCTTGTGATGCTTCCAACCTCCCCACCTTTCCCTTCAATTCCAGTCAGTACCAGTGGAATTCCTCCCCTCCCTGGCCCCGTTGCCATTCCAGCACAGCATGTCCCGGTGGAACGCTGCGGATCCCGCCACGTGGTTGATTTTGATTTTTCTCCTCTCCCACCCCCCTTCCCCGGGGTGTGACATCCACGCAGGAGCTCTCTAGTCCCAGCTGTAACAAAGATTGCCTCCAGGAGTCTCAGGTGCTCCCCAGGTGCCAGGGATGTGTCCGGCGTGGGGACGGCAGCGCACGCAGCATGACGCGACCGCGGGGCATGACACGGACGAGCGACCCGCCCGCTTCCTCGGCCTAGTAACTGGTGTTTTTTTTTTCCCTGGGATTCTTTCTTTCCTTTTTTTTTTTTTTCTTTTCCCCCCCAATGTAGCGGCTGCATTCCAGCAAGGGAAAATTCCACCGACGCCGTTCTCGGCACCACCTCCGGCCGGAGCCATGATTCCACCTCCTCCCAGCATCCGTAAGTTTGGGGCACGTTGGGGCTGGGATCAGGGCCCCCTGGAGCTGTATTGCTTGTGTCCTCAGAAAGAAAAAGCCTTTTAGCCTGAAGCCAAGCCATCTTGAGCTTGTGCTCTCGGGGTGTGTGGAAATTTTGTGTAGGAGCAGTTCAGTCCTTACTGTGCCTGATTTCTGGGATGCTGAGTGCACCAGAAGCAGTGACAACCCCTCATTCCATGGGGGCTCCCACGGCTCTGTTAAAACTGCACAGTGGGTTGCTTTTGGTTGGTTTTTATAAAAAGAAATCCCTTTGGTAACCTGAAGGGCCCCAGAGCCCTCCTGGCTCTGTTAAAACTGCACAGTGGGTTGGTTTCTCTAAATAGAAATCCCTTTGGTAACCTGAAGGGCCCCAGAGCCCTCCCTGCTCTTGGGAGTGGCAGCTCCCTGTGCTGGCTGTGCCCAGCTGGGGTTGGTAGCCAGCATATTCCTCCTGTGGTCACTTCCCAGCACCTGGAATCAGGGCTGGAACTGAGGCAGTGTAAGCCCCTGAGGTGTTAGTTCCTGCCACGTGCTGTGAATAGCTGCAGGCTCTTTGGTGGCTGAGGGTGCCAGTGTGTAACTGTTGTGTCTGTGCAGCTGGCCCCCCCCGGCCCGGCATGATGCCAGCCCCACACATGGGGGGGCCCCCCATGATGCCAATGATGGGCCCACCCCCTCCAGGAATGATGCCAGTTGGACCTGGTAAGTCTGGGATGGGGTAAGTCTGCCATGGGGGGCTGGATGGGGGGTCTGGGGGATGTTTCCTGTCCCACCATCTGTTGGGCACTCAGTGCTGTCCTGGTCACGCTGTGGTCACACCCTTGTCACTGTTACCCCTGCATGGAGAGACTACAACAATTTTTACTCATTAAACCCCTTTGCTTCTCATTAATAGTCACCATCCCCCTGTGCAGCTGGAATTGTGGCTCTGGGCAGTCATAGCTGTTCTCCCTCTGCTCTGAGCTGTGGTTGTTCAGGAGTTTGGTGCCACCAGGTCTCAGGTTTTGCACAAGAGGTGCATTTTTTGCACCAAATGTTTTTTTACTGTTTAAAGCATCTCAGGGGAATGTGTTCCAGAGAAACAATGGGCCTGGAAAAGGCTTTATCAGAACTGTAAACTAAAATGTCTTTGATCCATTCCACTCCTGAGCTTCCTGGCATTTGAAGAATTCTCAAGGGATATCTTATTGGAACAGTTCCCAGAACAAATCTATTGGAACACACACACACACACGTGCACTGAAAGTAGTGAAATGTCTTTGTAATTGTTGTCCTGCATTTGAAAGTGTTCTTTAAGTGTTTTTAAAGGCTCAAGATAAATGCACAGTCTGTGATATCCAGCAGCCTGCTGAAAATAAATGGCCAAGTGGGATGGAAACCATTGTTTCAGGGCTATGCAGTGGAGCCCCTGCTTTTCCCTGGCATAGGTGCTCTGTGCTTGTTTGTGAGCACATGGGATGGTTTTGCAGCACTTTTCTCCAAATTAACACTTTTCCAGATCAGTAGTTAAGCTGCTGTGTCTCTTGAGTGGCTGGAAATAAGTTGTGAGTGAATATTGTCAGAATGGGTGTATAACCCAGGGGCTTGGTTCCTCCTGTGCTGCTGGCTGAGCTCCTCAGGGAGTGGAATCCATCTCAGCAGCTGCCAGGTCAGAGCTTGCACCCTTGGAAAATGGGATTTCCCTGGAGCAGGGTAAAGAACCTGCCCACTGTACAGTGTGAAATTTCCCCTCTCTCAGAGCGATGAGGCAGATGTTGCTGTGAAGAGAAGCTGTGCCTGCCCCTGGATCCCTGGAAATATCCAAGGCCAGGTTGGACAGGGCTTGGAGCAACCTGGGATAGTGGAAGTGTCCCTTCCCATGGCAGGGGAGTGGAAGTAAACCTTTAAGGTCCATCCCAACCCGTGTTCTTCCGTGACTGGGCAGGTGGTGCTGCCAAGAGCTGTCTCTAACCTGTCTTTCCCCTGGCAGCTCCTGGGATGAGGCCGCCCATGGGAGGACACATGCCAATGATGCCAGGGCCCCCAATGATGAGACCCCCCTCCAGACCCATGATGGTGCCAACCAGGCCAGGAATGACCCGTCCAGACAGATAAAGATGGAGGTGGAGCTGCCTTTTCATATTAGGACCTTCCCTATGACAAACACAACAGACCTGTGTCCCTGGGGCTTTGTACTCAGTGTGTAGAGGGATTCTGCTGTAACCTCAGTGTATGAATGGAC